ATTATTAAAAAGTCAAAAAATAACAGATGCTGGCAAGGTTGCAGAGAAAAAGGGGATGCCTATATACTGCTGGTGGGAGTGTAAATTAGTTCAACCATTGCTGAAAGCAGTGTGGCAATTCCTCAGAGAACTAAAAGCAGAATTACCATTCAACCCAGCAATCCCACTACTGGGCATATACCCAAAGGAATATAAATCATTCTACCATAAGGATACATGCATGCATGTGTTCACCGCAGCACCATTCACAATAGCAAAGACATGCAATCAACTGAAATGCCCATTAATGGTAGGCTTCATAAAGAAAATGTGGTATATATACTATGCAGCCTTAAAAAAAAAATGAGATAATGTCCTTTGCAGGAACGTGGATAGAGCTGGAGTTCATTATCCTTAACAAGTCAGCATAGGAACAGAAAACCAAGTACTACTTATTCTCACTTTTAAGTGGGAGCTAAATAATGAGAACACATGGACACACAGAGGGGAACAACAGACACTGGGGCCAACCTTAGGGTGCAGGCTGGGAAGAGGGAGAGGATCAGGAAAAATAACTATGGGGTACTAGGCTTGGTACATGCGTGATGAAATAATCTATACACCAGACTCCCCATGACATCAGTTGAACTATACCCACACATATATCCCTGAACCTAAAATAAAAGTTAAAACAAAAACAAGAAAAAGTAGATATGGGAAACTATAGAATCTGAGATTAATATAAATCCAAGTTAAAATTCTACAAAAGACTATTCCAGATAGTTTATGTACAAATAGAAAAGGGACCATCACTAGAAGGCTGCCTAGTTAAGTAAGGATAAGTAAAGATTAATTAAGTAAGGTTTATCCTTCCTTTCTTATACGTCCTTTCTTAATCAGGTTACTAGAAGAGAAAATTTGGGCCCAGGTGTGGTGGCTTACGCCTGTAATCCCAGCACTTTGGGAGGCCGAGGCAGGTGGATCACGAGGTCAAGAGATTGAGACCATCCTGGCCAACATGGTAAAACCCCATCTCTACTAAAAATATAAAAAATTAGCTGGGCATGGTGGTGCAAGCCTGTAGGCCCAGCTACTTGGGAGGCTGAGAAAGGAGAATCACTTGAACCAGGGAAGCGGAGGTTGTAGTGAGCCGAGATCACACCACTGCACTCCAGCCTGGCGACAGAGCGAGACTCCATCTCAAAAAGAAAAAAAAGAAAAGAGAGGAAAGTTGGAAAAATGATGATGTGTCTCGATTTTGGCCAACATTTTGCCAAACTCTCAGGATCTCCTATAGATCAACTAGAGAAAGAAGAGTCAGGGAATATTCCATTAAATAAGTTTCCAGAGAGCTTGAATCAAGCTTCAGATAACTTGAATTAAGCTGATGTAGACCTATCAGCTGACAAGACTTTACAAACTTGTAAATGACACAACACATCAGGTGACTTAACCAAAATTCATAAAGAACTCCTTGGGGAGTTCAAGGTAGGCCATATCAACAAGATGACTTTAAAATAAATTTAAAATTAAAATCATTCCCTTAAGGATGTATATATGTATGTATGGGTTAGTTGAAAATAGTTTATGGGGGGAAAGGCTTAGTTAGGAATGTCAAATGATCAAATGTTTGATATAAACCAAATGTGCATGGTATTCTTTCACTTATTTATTCAAAAATATTATATACCAACTATAAAAGCACATTCTGCCTTGCTTTGCATGTAAAAGTGTAGAATCCAAAACTAGGGCAATAATGGTGCTGCAGACACCATAGTGATGAGACAACACTGGATATTGCGTTTAGTTTTATAAGACACCTTGGAGAAGAGAATTAACCATCCAGACTAGGCCACCAGTTTCAAGGTGGCCCAAGAGTTGAAACCAGGTGTTAAGAGGAGATTGACAATCTATCGAGGCTGATCATCCTGAAGATGGAAGACTAAGTGAAGATGTGAAAAATGTCTTTAAATATTTTAAAGGCTATTGTCTGGAAGCTTTCATAGACTACTGCTTGGTTTCTTAGGTAGCAGAAGTTATAACATCAATAGCTATGAGTTATACGAAATTGGGTTTCAGTTAATATCACACAGTGTGTCAGCTCCTTTACCAGACCCTAGGCATATAAAGATGAGCAGGACAAGATCCCCTTCCTCACAGTTAATCCATAAATTCATATTCCATATAGAGAAGTGGCTTCAGACACAATGGCTCTTTCAACAATGAGATTCATTAGGAAACTGGATGCCTCTTAACACACTGAGCTCCCATCTCTGGAACACAAAAGGAAAGACATTTCAGGTACTGTTTGGGGCACTGAGGCTGGGCTGATGGTACCTGTGCCTAGCTGTGGTGTTCTGATAGCTGCCAAGAACCAGGACTCCTATTTACCAGGACAAGCAAAGCAGGTAGCACAAAGAGAGTCTAAGCTGTGTTCCTGGAGGAAAGCAAAAGATTAAAGCCAAAAAAGTGGCCCTGAGAATCAGGTACAAAAAAGCCACAGACTGTCAACAGGAGAGCAATTCTCGAGTCCAAAGAAGGGAAGAGCAGACATAGCCAGGATGCATGGTGTGAGCCTGGGGAAAACCATCATTTGGGAACAGCCTGGGAATGCCGGCCAGTTAGTGGCTTGTTGGGAGCTCCATGTGATCAAGCAGGCTTTGGCTTGGATCAGATGGGATTGGACAAGACGCTGAATGACCCTTTGTCAGGGGTGTTAGAGATGGGACTTGTGATAGATGTCTTCCATTTGCCTCTGTAGCTCTGCTCACCACTCTTCTCTACCCCGTGTGGATCTAGGAAGTTGACCTACATAGCCTGCATCCGTGGAATCCTCGCCCTTTGGATCTAGTTTGGTTTAGATAACAGCTAGAGCAGTGGTTTGGAGTCTTTGAAGAGGTCCTGCATATCCCTTGTTAGCTGAGAATAGCTAGACATTAAAGAGCGGGGAAGAGAGTGGAGTTAGAATCCCTCTGTTCCCTGCTTGCCTCACCATGGGGTCACCTTGGGATTGCTGTTTTTCTTGGATGAGGGTCACAGCTCCTCTTAAAATGTTCCTGTTTACATAGCTTTTTCTTCCAGGATCCAGCAGCCACTCCCTGCCCTCTACCCTCTAAGCCTAGAAGGTGGTAACAGCTCCAGTTACTAGCTCCAGGTACTGCACTATCTCTTAGGGATCTCCTACATCTTGTCCATCCTATTTAAATACTTCTTAGATTATACTAATGTGAACGTATCATCTGTTTCTTGGTTGAACCCTGGCTGATACAGGATTCTGGATTGAGTAACAAGATGGACTAGATTATTTCTAAGAACTCTTACACTTCTAGAGCTCCGGATTTCTTGTCACTGATCTTATATTTTTGTATACCTGAGTGATGAGGATTAAATTTCTGCACCTAGAAACTCACAGCAAATATTTTTGTAGCACATAAGAAGTTCATCTAGAGACTCATGATTTGGCTTAACCACATAATTTATATGATTTATTATTTTTATAAGAATTTGTGTCTTCAGTATGAATTGCAGTTCATAGTCTCAGTTGCTCACACTATGTCTGAAGGGTCAGCTAACATCTTTATTGGTGTCATGTAAAAGAGCCAAAGGGCACTTAATCTGGCCAAGCAACTACTCTCCAGACTTTGGCAATTTCATAAAAGAGCTGAAATTAATCTGAAATATCTTTCATAAATAAGCTGCTCAGCCACACTGTGACACTTTCTGGGAAGATTGAATAGTTGAGGCTCCTCATAATGATGCTGATCCAAGGACACGCCAGAACCTCAAGAAAAGAACGAGGAGACCACAGGGTCTGCGTGACTGTGAACCGCATGACTTCTGAGTCTGATAAGCCATAGAAGGCAAATTGTCTTCTGGTGGGAAGATCATTTCTATTTGACTCAGAATAAGAGGGTTTTGTTTTTGCTTGGTTTGGTTTTGAGGCTGTCTTACTTCTAAGGAGTCATTATCTTTTAGAGATACACAGTGAGATGTTTGTGGATGAAATGATATGACTGAGGTCTGCTTTGCAGTGATACAGAGAGGGGGAATAGGTGGGAGCAGAGTCAAAACAAGATTCGTGGTGAGTGGATATGGGTGATGGAGACATGAGGCCCATACTATGCTCTCTATTTTTGTGTGATTTTGGAATTATTGAATATTAAGAGTTATGTGAATAAACAGTTAAATAAAAAGTGACTTCTTCCTACAGGGAAACTCATTTATTTTTGCTTGGTACCCATGATGTGATGCAGAAGCTCTGTGTGTAGGTTTCAGAAACGTAATAGGAAAAAACATATTGAAACAAAATGTAAATGAGGATTGCTATTCTTTTGTGAAAGTTTACCCAAATCATGCTCAATGGAAAATATCAAGATATTATTATTCAGGATGTACCTTTAGAGTATCTTTCATGTGGACTTTGCTGTATGGACTTTACTCCTAAATAACTTGGGGTAGAGGAGAACCAGGTAAGTTATATGTGAAATAAGATTGGTTGTGAATTAAAATTTCTTCAGTTTTGGGGAAGGATACATGGGAGTTCATTTTACTATTTGTTCTACTTTTGTATATGCTTTAAATTTTTCATAGAACTTTTTTAAAAAAAGAAATCTATACTGCACATCCAAAACATGGCCATTTTACATTAGGAAAGTATTAACTTTTATGATTTTATGAAATGTAATATTATGTTATTTCTCTTTCACCTCCTTAGATTTTGTGTTTTCTAATATATTGCTATTTGTCCATTTCTTTTGTTTTCCCCCACTCCTTAGTTTTGTCTGTTGTATGGAACCAAGTTGGTGTTTCAGGAGCGGGCCTGGTATTTAGAACATAAATACTTGACTCCCGTGGCCAGCCTGAGGATCAGGAATCAGGTAAGGTCCCTGGGGTACAGAAAAACACTTTGTACATCAGCCTGGTCTCTTTGCTTTCTTAGTAAACAGTCCTGCCAATCTTCTATCGGTTTCCACTCATGGATTTTTATGCCTCTGGGACTTCACATATATGTTTTCACTGCCTATCATGATCGTATTACACTTCAGAGTTTAGGTGACAAGGGAATGACTCATTGTACATGAGCTTTCCAAATGAAAAAGAGAGGAAGGTGTCAAAGTGTTTTCCTTGTCGTGGCAAAAAAAAAAGTATTAATGATTTCTTTTCTGCTTCTTATCAAAGCCTATTAATACATTGTTCATATTAAGAAGAAAGACCCGGGGTATTTTTATGTCAGTAGTAGCCATGGAGAATTCAATACAATAGCTATGGAGCACCTGAAAAAGAAGGTGAGGCCAGTATTCACCACTAAAATGCTACTGCAAAGAAAAAGAATGTGAAACAGCATACTCATCAGTAAAACACATTTCTGAGTACGTCCTTTCTGCAGGAGAGATGCTGAAACACAAACAGGTATAAGACTCAGTCTCCACTTAAAGGGAGCTCATATCCAAGGACACAAAACCAACTTTAAAAACATAAATACTGGCCAGGTGTGGTGGCTCATGCCTGTAATCCCAGCACTTTAGGAGGCTGAGGCGAACAGATCTCCTGAGCTCAGGAGTTCGACTCCACCTTGGACAAAATGGTGAAACCCTGTCTCTACCAAAATACAAAAAAATTAGCTGGGCATGTGCCTGTAGTCCCAGCTACTCGGGAGGCTGAGGCACAAGAATTGCTTGAGCCCCGGAGTTGGAGGTTGCAGTGAGCAGAGATCGTGCCACTGCACTCCAATTTGGGCTACAGAGTGAGACTCCATCTCAAAACAAAACAAAACAACAACAACAACAACAGCAAAACACACACACACACACACACACACAAATACTCTCACAGGGGCATGGAGGTTTTCAAATGAACTTGGCCATAAGAATAAATTCAGAGTTGACAGAACAGATGTCTTAGGAATAAATGCCATTCTTATGCTAGACCTTGAAGAATAGAAAATTAAGAGGTGGTGGCCCAATTGAGAGGGGAAAATGCAGTTGAAACTTCAGACAGGGTTGATAAAGGGAGGAAGATCATAGAAATGGAGTACTTAGACATATTAATAAATAATACAGACTTTACCTGTCTAAAGGCAAACCTGGAGAAGTCTTCAGGAATCAGACTACAGTGGACCCTGGAGAACCTGGAAGAACCTTTTTCCTTTTCAGGAAAACAGAGAAAAGTATATGTAATGATGCTACAGTAATGTATTTCTGTATAACAAATGACTCCAAACTTGTGACTTAAAACAACCACCACGTATTATTTGTCTTGGTCCATTTTTTGCTGCTGTAACAGAATACCATAGACTGGGTAATTTATAAGGAAAAGACATGCATTGCTTACAGTGCTGGAAGATGGAAGGTCCAAGGTCGAGGGGACCACGTCTGGCAAGGGCCTACGTGTAGCACCATCCTATGGAAGGGAAGAGCAAGAGAGCGTGAAAGCAAGAGAGAAGGAAGGGAGGGGTTGAACTTATCGTTTTATTAGGAAACACTCCTGAGATAACAGCATTAATCCATTCATGAGGGCAGAGCCCTCATGGCCTATTCACCTTCTAAATGTCATCTCTCTCATCACTGTTGCATTGGGGATTAAGTTTTCAACACATAAACTTTGGGGGACACATTCAAGCCACAACATCATTTCTCATGATTTTGCACTCTAGACAGAGTTCAGCTATTAACAGACAGTTCTGCTCCATGTGGTGGCTGCTGGGGTTAGGGGTTCAAAATGACTTCTTCACTCTTATGGCTGGCACCTCAGCTAGGATGACAGGAATAGATGGGCAATTGTCTCCTTCCATGTAGCCTAGTTTGGGCCTGTTCACAGTAGGGTAGTTTCAGGGTGGTCGAATGTTTTATTTGATGGCTTCCAGGAAGGAGAAAGTAGAAGATGCCAGTCTTCTTAAAGGATAGGCCAAGAACTAACAGTGTTACTTCCACTGAATTCTATCAGTCAAAGGAAGTCACAGTGCCAGCACAGATTCAGAGCTGGAGGAGACACTTTACCACTTGATGTGAGGAGTACAGGTACATGCTGGGAAGGAAAGAATTGATGGCAGCTATCTTTGAAGACTATTTCCCACAAAGAGAGTGCCCACTTTGGGAAGATGGAAGACTACTTTTTAATTAGAAAAAAAAAAAAAAAACTACATAAGGGAAGATTTTAAATCTGTGCCACCAGGTATTTCAGTGACACAGAATTAGATAAACAATATACAATATATCAAAGGAATATTTAGTGAAGGAAATGAACTTTCATATAAAACATTGAAGTGCTTTTGTATTTTTTTTTATTTTTTTTTTAAGATGGAGTCTTGCTTTGTCACCCAGGCTGGAGTGCAGTGGCATGATCTCAGCTCAGTGCAACCTCGGTCTCCCAGGCTCAAGTGATTCTCTTGTCTCAGCTTCCTGAGTAGCTGGGATTACAGGCACCCGCCACCATGCCTGGCTAATTTTTGTGTTCTTAGCAGAGATGGGGTTTCACCATGTTGGCCAGGCTGGTCTTCAACTCCTGGACTCAAGTGCTCCGCCAGTCTTGGCCTCCCAAAGTACTGGGATTACAGGCATGATCCACCACACCCGGCCTGCTTTTGTATTCTTACAGTGCCACATGCTTTCCACACTTCTCACTTACTGGATCCTCTTAACAGCCTGGGAGATAAGCAGGCAGGAGCCAGCCACTGTGGAACAAGCTTTATCTGTAGGGCTATAGGACATCTCAAAGCCGCCTTTGTCACATCGCTGAGCTGCCAACCCTGAGCACTCATCCCGTTTGCTGGTATCCCCAAAGGGGAGAGGATAGTGGAGCTGGCACAAATCCTTCCTTTCCCACTGCCACCATAACTCTTTGCAGGGATCTCAAGGCTTTAGAGAAATGATTTGCAGCCATTCTTCACAAAAAATATCTGGGACCCTTGGTCAATTGAAAGTGCTACATGAAAGTGTGCTTGCAAAGAGCGTGTGCTTGCAGAGAAGATTAGAAGAGACTGGGCTGACTGGTATTACTGACATGGGTCCAGGTGTTTTCACATGATAGCTCTCCACAGTTACTGATTCTTTCTTCAGATGCATCTAACATTCTGGTTACTTCATCCCCCTAGTTTTTAATTCCAATTGTTAGAATTTTTATTTTTAAAATTATTGTTATGTTATTATTATTATTTTGAGACAGAGTCTTGCTCTGTAGCCCAGGCTGGAGTGCAGTGGCCTGATCTTAGCTCAGAGCAACCTCTGCCTCCCGGGTCCCTGTTCAAGCCATTCTCCTGCTTCAGCCTCCCGAGTAGCTGGGATTATAGGCACGTGCCATCATGCCCAGCTAATTTTTGTATTTTAGCAGAGATGGGGTTTCATCATGTTGGCCAGGCTGGTCTTGAACTCCTGACCTCGTGATCTGCCCCCTTCAGCCTCCCGAAGTGCTGGGATTACAGGAAAAAAGAAATTTTTTATGTCATACGTGTCACTTTTTCATTTCCTGTTCCCCAAAGATATATTCAATATTGTATTTTATTGTGTATACGTTGAAACCATGGATTTGCCAAGCTTGTCCATAATACCTGCCTAGTACCCATCAAAACTGACAATGCATGAAAGACAAGAAAAGACTGAAGCCATCACAGTGCAGAAGAGACTCAGGAGACATGATGACTAAATACAATGCAGTATCCTGCATTGAATCCTAGGACAGAAGTATATGAGTTTCTATGAGGAGAAAAACTGGAAAAATCTGAATAAAGTCTATCGTTTAGTTATTAGTAATGCATTAATATTGGTTTCCTAGTTTTTACAATGAGCCCTAGTTATGGGGAAACTGGGTGAAGGGCATATGAGAAATCTTGTTATCTTTGAAACTTTTCTGTAAATCTGAAAGTATTCCAAAATAAAAAGTTTGCTAAAAACAGCAAAAAGTTAGCATAGGGAGATGGCAATCAGCCCAAACTGTTTCTAAATAAATAAAACTTTCCAGAACGCCCAGGACTTACACTGACGCTCCAGTCTAATGGCAATTAGAAATGCATATATATATATATACTTAAAAATTATTTCATTCTCACTAGGATCTTCAAGGAAAGTAAGGCTAATATAATCCCCATTCAACAAATGAGTAAAACTAAGAAAGAGAGACATTAAATGACTGAAATGACTGTCCAAGAGTCTAGCTGAACACAATCCATCCACATATTCAGAAGGTAGCCCAAGTGCCCAGTTGTTCACCTGAGGCCCCACAAGAGAAGGAGTTGGGTTGAGGTTTATTTTTAAAATTCCAATCCCCCCCGGTCCTTCAAATTAGATAACTAATGCCCGTTCTTTTGTCTGGAACTTCAGTGTTGTCAGAGCAGGTCCATATTCATTCTCATATCATCCTCACAAGCACCCTTTGGTATGAACAGCTGTTACTCCCCTGTAGGCACTGGGAAACTGAGGTTGACTTGCTGCTTAGTGAGCAAATGGTAAGCTGGGGCCTCTATGGCAGGTTTTGGACTCCACTCCACTGCTGTCCTAGTGTCTCCCGGGCTGGGGAGGAGGATGAGCTGCTCCCCCTTGCTGCCCTCTCTCTGAGACCTTGGCTCGAAGGCCAGTGGTGGTGCCCCGGGGCTCCATCCTAACAAGGTCTCTAAATACACAAGATTCCTGTGTCCTGGCCATTAAGCATTTTTGCAGGGGTATGTAGAGAACAACTGTGTTCTTTGTTCTCGGAAAATTTAGTGTCCAGGCATTATCCTGTTTCAGTCTTCATTAACCCAGACATTTGTATTTATTTTGCTTCAGATAATTATCAGCATTAGTGAGTAGCTATCAGCTGAGGCTCATTTTAAGGAAGAAAGCCTTTCAAAATGACCCAACAGTTAACAATTGTGTATCTCCATTAAAACCGACTTCGTTTTGCTTTTTAAAAAATAAAATAAAGCAAAGATCTCAGCTTCTTAAAGTGGAGAATTTTGATGCAAATGACTATGTGCCTATTAATCTCTTACTTTATCTTTACACCATCCCTTGAAGTTGACTGAAGTTACGGTAGCCTTATTTTGCTCCCTGAACTCCTGGGCACAGCTGTCCTGCTCTGCCAGTGCCTGCCTGCATTGGGACGTATGGAAAAGAACAAGTACTTGTGAACATGTGGTCAGCCCACGCTGAGAAATCAATGCAGGAGGAAGCTTTTCAGTCTATGTGTGTTGAGAGAACCACAGCCCAGCTGTGGGTTGCAGATCAAAAAAGGACCCTATTCAGTGTGGTGAAAATAATACTTAGTAAAATGTTGAATCAGGTTCTATTTCCTGCCATGAGCTCAAATAATGGAATCATGTGAGCATGCAGGTGATGAAGGACCTGCGGGGAAGTGAGGCGGGCTGTGTAACTCACGCACAGCAGGGAGGAAGGTCACTCCACCTCCCAGGGGCCGTAGTGAATTGCCTGTAAAATTAGCAGTGTTGAAAAAGCAGAAACTCATTCACTAAGAGAGAAAATAAATACTGATTGTAACCATGTCCAAGAAATCTGGACACCTCCCCCATACTTGATCATATTTACACCCATAGCTGCTACTTTCACCCGAACGTTGCCTTAATGTCCTATTTGAGTCATAACTGTCAACTCCGAGATGCATTGTTTCTGTTGGCACCTTAGTGCACCTGAGGCTTTCTCCCATGCCTCTAAGGCTGTTCTCATTTTCGTGTTTCCCTGATATGCTAGGTGAAGCCCAGATTCATCAGCACAAGCACAATCCTGTTTGTAAAATCCTGTTTGCACCCTTGCTTTTAAGTGGACACAGGAGCAGTTGCAGCAGCCAGCAGCCTTCATCTGCCCTACTGAAAGGAGGCATTCGTTTTCTCCCTGAGTCAGGGATTGCTGCTCAGGAGCCCAGCTGCAATAAGGAGGCCAAGGAGAGCCTGTTGATGACATGTGATTGAGATTCTGACTGTATCTGCTCAAGTCTAAAATGACCACTAGGGCTTGGGTTTTAGTTTCAGTTCAGTCAGTCAAACGGTTGAATCGTAGAGGAAGAAGAGCATTCAAGCCCGTTGATTGATGAGTCATTCAAGTAGTTCTGAGTAGACATTGCCAATGGCATCTTGCTTTATTCTCAGGAGACGTGGCTTGGAGTAAGAATGTGCAGAAGTGTGGTAGACACCAGGCCCCAAAGCCAGGATGCTGCTTGGCTCCTTTGAATGTAGAAGATGGATTACACTCGTTGACTCTTTTAATCTAAGCATAAAGTATAAATGCAGTCACTGCTTGAGATTAAAGAACACAGAAAAAAAATTAGGAGAGAGTTCTAAGCTGGAAAGATGGTGCTGGGATATTAGCCCTTCTCAGATGTGAACTTCAAGAAAAACAAATACCCCACACACATACCCGCTGGGCTTAGAAAACAGTACATGTGCCCTGAACTTCCTACAAATGTGGTGTTGGTTGTTTTCTATGCCACAGTGAATGTTTCTTTTAATGAACACTCAGCTTTCCCATCCTTCTATTTCTCATTCCCCAGACCACCTGGATCAAGAGACATGTTCAGACGCTAGAATTGAATGTATCATGAACTAAGGTTTAGGCACAGCATATTGAACGCATTCATTGGAGTGGGGAAGAGAGATGGGGTTTCTTGGTCACTCACCTCCTACCCGTAGACTTTTGCTTTTCTCTATAATGAATTTGAGGGAAAAAAAAAAAAAAACCTCTGTTTCCCTCACTTCCACCCCATTCACCCCACCCACCCCACCCAGTAAGGCCCATCTGAATTGGCTTCAAGGCAGTGAGAACCCCTGGCTGTGTCATCCTGACTGAAGCTGGTGTGGGGTGTAAACACAGGGACCTACTCTGCCAGGGTAGGAAGGAACAGCCTCTCCCTGGCTGTGGTCAGTGAGTTGAGGATGTTATTGAAATGACATTGAAATGGAGTGGTCACACCGGAAATGCAACTGGCAGTCAAATTTTTAAATCCTCTTTGATTTGAAAGCATCCCCAGAAGTGGTTTTAACCTAGCTTCACATCTGTAGGACTCCTGGTTCACCTCTTGGAGACACCATGGACCAAGTAGAATGTAAGTGTCTCCTGCTCCACCTTCTCCTCCTAGTGCAAAAGACTCTAAAATAGGGAAATAGGGAAAATATTAGTACAAACAGTGTCCTGCTAAGAGATGGGAAAATCTCTCTTTTTCCTTCCCCTTTCCCTCTACTCCTGACCTTGCATGCTCCTTAGTGGTATAAAATACACTGTTGAACCTATAAATGCAGGCCATTCAAGTCAGGTTAAGAAAATCTAAATGGAATTTGGTTTTCTTCAGCTTGGCCAGTAAAAGGGACCCTGAGGTC